CCTGACCCTAAACCCTAAACCCTAGCCCTAAACTCTAAACCCTAACCCTAAACCCTAACCCTAACCCTAAACCCTAACCCCCAAAACCCTACACCCTAAACCCTGACCCTAGACCCTAACCCGAACCCTAACCCCTACACCCTAATCCTTAACCCTAACCCTAACCCGAAACTCTAGCCCTAACCCTAACCCTAAACCTTAACCGTAACCCTAAACCCTAAACCCTAAACCCTAAACCCTAAACCCTAAACCCTAAACCCTAAACCCTAAACCCTAAACCCTAAACCCTAAACCCTAAACCCTAAACCCTAAACCCTAAACCCTAAACCCTAAACCCTAAACCCTAAACCCTAAACCCTAAACCCTAAACCCTAAACCCTAAACCCTAAACCCTAAACCCTAAACCCTAAACCCTAAACCCTAAACCCTAAACCTCGCTCGCCTCGCACCGGACCCCTGCGGAAAGGGGGGAGGGGGGGGGGGGGAGGGGTTCCGAACCCCCCCCCCCCCCTTTCAAAGGTGGGGGGGGGAGGAGTTCGAACCCCTCCCCCCCTTGAAGGGGGGGGGAGGGGGGGGGGGGTTCTCGGACCCCCCCCCCCCTTAAGGGGGGGAGGGGGGGGGGGGGGGGTCCCTGGAGCACCCCCCCCCTTTTGTGTCTTCAAGGTGATCCACTGGCGCTCTTTCCCTCTTGGGCCGTCTTCGAGCGTCGGAAAGCGGAAAAGGCGAGAAGGCCAAAATCCTTCCAAAACCGTCGTAAAGCAGACGATTTTGAGGCCCAAAACCGTCCAAAACCTCCTGAGGCGGTCCCCTCGTCCGCCCCCCTCGCTTCGAAGCAGTTTTTAAGCCCCGTGGCACCTCTTGGGGATCTCTTTTGGGCTCCTGGGGGCCTCTTGGGCCTCCACTGGATTCGCTGCCCTCGGTCGGCAATCGTCGATCCTACGACGACTCTCCCCAACGGAGAAACATCGAAGGCCCTCGGAGCGTCCAACATTGTTCTTTTGTGCCTTCGATATGCCGGTCGCCTCTCGTCCGCTCCCCCCCTCCTGGAAGCAATTCTGAGGCCACTTAGGGCTTCGTGGGGGCCGTTTGGGGATCTCTTGGGGCGTTTTTGCCTGCGATATGCCTGTCGCCTCTCGTCCGCTCCCCCGCTCCTGGAGGGAATTCTGAAGGCACTGAAGGCTTCGTGGGGGCCGTTTCGAAGCCTCTTCGGCCTTCTTTTGGGCCTCCCGGGGGGGCTCTTAGGGCCCTCTCGGGCCGTCTTGGGTGCCTCTTGGGCCGTCTTGGGGCCGTCTGAGACCCGCCTCGGCGCCTCTTGGGCTGTCTTGGGCCGTCTTGGGCCGCTCCTGGGGCCGTCTTGGGTGCCTCTTGGGCCGTCTTGGGCGCCTCCTGGGCCGTCCTGGGGCCGTCCTGGGGCGTCTTGGGACCGTCTGGGGGCCCTCCTGGCCCGTCTTGGGGCTCTCTTGGGGTCCTCTTCGGCCGTCTTGGAGCGGTCGGGGGGACTTCTTGGGCCGTCTTGGAGCGTCGGGAAGCCGAAGAGGCGAGGAGGCCGAAAACATCGAAAAACACAGTAGAAATCGACGATTTCTGTCGCTCGGGGCCCTCTTGGGAGGCCTCTTGGGAGGCCTCTTCGGGCGTCTTGGACGCCTCTTGGGCCGCCTGGGGCGAATCTCGGGCGTCTTGGGCCCATCATTAAGCGTGCCGGGGCTCTCCGGGGCCGTCTTGGGGGCTTCTGGGGGCCCTCCCGACATGTCCTGGAGCCTGCCTGGGCGGCCCGGGGCGGCCCGGGGCCAGCCCGGGGCGGTTTTGAGACATTGGAGCCTGCGCCCTTCTGGCACGCACTGGGCCCTGCAATGTAGTAGAGACTAGGGCGAACAGGTGGACTTCGTCCACGTCATCTTGGACCAGTCTTGGCTCGAAAAGGCCGTATTGAGCCTGTCTTCGCTCGAAAAGGCGAGAAGGTGGAAATCTTTCAGAACCATAGAAGAATCAATGATTTCGTTTGCCGCGGCTCGTCTGGAGCGTCTTCGAGCGGTCTTGGGCCGTCTCGGAGGCCCTCTTGGACCGCTTCCTTCTCTTCGTCCGCCTTCCGCTCTACCTCCGCCTAGACAGCCTTCGGAGCGTCACAGACGGCTATGGTGGGTCTGCGGTGTACGTCTCGCCGCTTGTCAATTTTGAAAGCACCTGGGGCCTTGGAAAAAGTCACCCGGAAGGCTCTGGTGATTTTCTTTCGGTTGCCTCTTCGAAGCCTGATGGCGAGCGCTGCCGTCTCCTTGGGAACGGTTAGTGGGCCTCTCGGGGTTTCTTTTCGAGCTCCTGGGGGCCTGTTGGAGCCTCGTTGGCTGTCTTGCGGCCTCCTAGGGGCCTCCTGGGGCCCTCTTGGGCCGTCTTGCGGCCTCCTGGGGGCCTTTACTCTTGAAGTTTTTGTTGGGCGCCTCTGGGGCCGTTCCCGGGCTGTCCCCCCCGAGCCTCTTCCAGCAGACAGCCCAGGAGATCTATTGTGCTTGCGTGCTGTACGTGCGTACTCCTGTGTGAGAGGTCGGAAGGGTGTCCCGACGTCACCGCTCGCTCTTGGGAGCTGTGCCTGGGAGAGCTCTCTACGCTGCGTCTCGCTCTTGGGAGCCTTGGTGAGAAGAGCTTTGTACTTCACCGATCGCTCTTTTAATGGGCGTCTCTGGGCCTGCTTGGTGGTCCTTGTGGGGGTCTTGTTCGGGCCATTCTGAGGCTTGTTTGGGCTGCTCTGGGAGCGTCTTGGGACGTTTTGGGGCCATTTTGGGCCGCCACGGGGCGTCCGGGAGGCCTTGGACCGTCTTGGAGCTCTCTTGAGGCTGCCTGAGGCCGTCTTGGGAGCCTCTTGGGGCCCTCTCGGAGCTCTCTTGGGGCCGTCTTGGAGTTCTGTAAGGCCGTTTCAGGGCTCTCTGGCGTCGTCTTGGGGCTCTTGTGGGCCGTCTTAGAGCCCTCTGAGGGGCCGCTGGCGTCTTCTTGGGGCGATTTGCGGTGCCTCTTGGCGTGTCCTGGGCTGCCGAGGAGCACACAAGGCGGGCATGCTGAAAATATACGCTTTCCCATCGGAATTGGACGATTTGTGCCTCTTTGGCGTGCGCTTGGGGCCCTCGTGGAGCGTCTTTGCGGCCTCTTGGATCGCCGCAGAGCCCCCCCCCCCGAAGGCTTCGTGCCCTCGTGGGCCGTCTCGGGACCCACTGAGGCCGTCTTGGAGCGCTCTTGGACGGTCTGGGAACCCCTCTGGAGCGCCTCTGGGACTGGCCTGAGCGATTCGGCCCCGTGGTGGCGCCGTAAAGGGGCGATGTTGTGCACGTGAGGCCCGGAGAGATTCTCGCACGCGCTTCCACTGGCCATGTAGGAGAGAACTAGAGCTGGACTCGTCCACGACATCTGCTCGAGGTGGCGAGCGGGGTCTGGGCAAGCGTGATGGTGCCGTCATGCTCTGAGAATGACGTTGGGCGCGGCCTGCAGTTTCGCGTTTTTGCTGGTCTTCGGGGCGCGTCGACGCTGCCACCGCCGTTTGCGCTGCTGGCATAGCTGATGCTGTCGCTGTTGCGACGGCACTTGCCTCTGTTTAGCTCTTGTTACGCTTGGTTCGTGCCACACATACCTTTAGCATTTCCCAGCTATTGCTCGTGTCTCTTTTCAGCTCGTGCACCCTTCTAGCACGTGCTTGCGTGCAGCCAGTGTCTTCTATTGGTTCGTGTCGTTTGGGGTTCATGCTGCATACAGCTGTTGCACTCCGCAATGTCTGCTCGAGTCTCTTCTTAGCTCGTGTCTCTTGTAGCTCGCATCTCATGCTGGTCACTGTCTCTGTTTAGATCGTGCTCTGTTTGGCTCGCGTTTTACAAGCAGCTCGCACTTTACGGTTCCTGTTCGTCTCATTATGTAGCTCGTGTCCCCGTTCAGCTCGAGTCTCCTTCCCGCCGGTGTCTCTTGGCAGCCCGTGTCATTCAAGATCGTGGTTGCCCCGCTTGCAGCGCTGCCCAACATCTGTTCGCGTCTCTTTTCAGTTCGTGCCCCTTTTTAGCCCGTGTCTCCTTGCAGGCAGTGTCTTGTTGAATAACATACCACGTCCTGTTCGTGCTGCACGCGACACGAGCATTTCCCAGTGGCTGCTCGTTTCTGTGTTTAGCTCGTCTCTCTGCTTAGCACGTGTTTCCTTCCAGCACGTGTCTCATTTTCAATCGTGTCAGCGGTGGTCCGTAGTGACATGGTGTATACGGAATCGCTACCCTGTTGATGGTCTGCGTTATGCTTGCTTGCTGCTGGCGGTAAGAACTCTTTTGCGTCACGGATCGGCCTGTTTGCTGGGGTGGGCTGCCGCTTGCTGCGGGTTGTTGCCGCTTGCTGCATAGCGCTGGTGCTGTGAATCCGTGCTGCCGCTGCTTGCTTTTTGTAGCCGCTGCTCCTGGGCCGTCCTGGGGCCATCTTGGGCCGTATTGGGTTCGTATGGGAACCTTCTTGGGGCGTCTTGGGGCCCTCTTGGAGGCCTCTCGGGCCGTCTTCGAGCGACGCGGCCGGGTCCTGGAGCCATCTTGGGCCCCGACGGCGAGCATGAAGTCAATCGAAAACCAAAAGGAAGATCTGTGAGTGTGGCCGCCCCGGGCCGTCGTGGAGTGGTGCTTCTGGGCCGTCCTTGGAGGCTCCTCGCCCGTCCTCGGGCGCCTTCTGGGACGCGGTGGGGCTCGCTGGGGGGCCATCTTGGGCCGCCTGGGCGCTCTGCTGAGCAAACGCAGAAAACATCTATACACCACTACCGTGCCAGGCCAGGGCCATGCCAGGCCAGGGCCATCCTGGCCCTGGCATGGTGTATACGCCCTCCTGGCCGAGGCCATCCTGGACCCAGGATGGCCCTGGCCTGGCACGGTGGTGGTATATAGATGCCTTCGTCGGATGAACATCTCGGAGCCGTCGTGTCGAAGCCGTCTGAGGCCGTCTTGGGGCAGTTCCCCGGCCCGTTTCGCACGCAGCAGGCACTGCGTTGCAGAAGAGAGGACGCTGGGCTCCAGCTTCGCCTCCCGCATCTCGCTGAGCCGTGCCAGATCCCGCTGCCACTGCTCGCCCCTTTCGCACGCGATGATCCTAGCGCTGTAGCTGACCCGTGGATGAAGTCCCACGGTTTGCTGAGCCTGGGACTCGCAAGCCGTAGGTTTGATCCACAGAACAGGGCGTCGAGGCCGACCAGCTCGCGGAGCTCGTGGAGAGGACGGGGGGGGACAAAAACGAAAGAGGAGGAGAAAGAGGAGGAGAAGGAGAAGGAGAAAGAGGAGGAGGAAGAGGAGGAGGAGGGAGAAGGGGAGGAGGAGAGGGGCGGAGAAAACGGAACGCCTGCGCGTGCCGCGGCAACTGCTCCGCGGAGGAGGGAACACGGCGGACTCGTGCCGTGACGTGCTGCGGCTGCTGCTCTTGGCTCCTCCTCCTCCTCCTCCTCCTCCTCCTCCTCCTCCTCCTCCTCCTCCTCCTCCTCCTCCTCCTCCTCCTCCTCCTCCTCCTCCTCCCTCCTCCTCCTCCTCCTCCTCCTCCTCCTCCTCCTCCTCCTCCTCCTCCTCCTCCTCCTCCTCCTCCTACCTCCTCCTCCTCCTCCTCCTCCTCCTCCTCCTTCCCTCCTCCTCCTCCTCCTCCTCCTCCCTCCTCCCCCTCCCTCCCCCTCCCTCCCCCTCCCTCCCCCTCCCTCCCCCTCCTCCTCCTCCCTCCTCCTCCTCCCCCTCCTCCTCCTCCTCCTCCTCCGCCTCCTCGCGATCCGTCTGGCCCCTATGGGCCGCCAGGCATAGCAGAAAACCGAAACCCCGACACAAACTGAATCCATAGTTTCTCTGATTCAGAAGCCACCAACATCCCGCCAATAAGTCCGCCAAGACGCCCCAAGAACCACCCAAGAAGCCCAACAAGCAGCCCCAACGACCCCCAAACGGCCCTTACGGGGCCTCAAGAGGCTTCAACACTGCCTCCAAGAGGTTCCCGAGACGCCTGGCAAAAGAACCCCCAAAGCGCCGCATTGACACCAGGCCCTCGGGCAAACGGCAGACATGAGACTGTAAGGGCCGGTGGAATGAGCGAAGCGATTAAATAAATAGACACAAATAACCGGATTTCTCATATTTTCCTATATTTTCTGGGTTCTCGTCTTCCCCCCCACTTCCGACATTTTCCAATATTTTCCTGGGAGTCGACGATTGATTGTGTCTGTGTGCTTTTTCCCCTCCTGAGCATGGTAATACAAACGGCGCTGGGCTTCAGCTTCGCCTCCCGCATCTCGCTGAGCAGCGCCAGAGCCCGTTGCCACTGCTCGCCCCTTTCGCACGCGATGATCCCAGCGGTGTAGCTGACTAGTGCGAACCCGTGGAAAGTCACGGCTGGCAGGGCAAGGTGTCGGACCCGAACGCGCATGTGTCGCCGACGCCCGCGGGATTGCTCCAGGGCTTGCCGCAGGCTCCGGGCTCTGGGACTGGTGGCTGTCTTCGAGTGTCTTGGGAGGGTCTGGAGGGTCTGGGCTGTCTCGGAGTGGTCCCTGGAGGGTTCTTGTGGTATCGGAGGCTTCCCGCAGTCCAGTCTCGCTGCAGCCTCTTGCAGGAGGAGGCGGAGGAGGAGAGCGGTATGGGAAAAGGGGGGCAGCGCAGGCTCCCAGTGTAGGAAGCCGAGGCAGAGAAGACAGGAAAATGTCCCCGTGGTCACCGCTAATCGGAAGGGGAGTTGGAGGAAGAGAGCAGTTCAGAGAGAGGGAGGTACAGCGGCTCGCAGGTGGGGAAGCCAGGGTAGAGAAGAGAGAAGGTCCCCCTTGTCACCCCTAATCGCTGGGGGGGGCCCGAGACGTGCTGGGGTCTGCGGGGGGCAGAGGAGGAGGGAGTGAGGCGCATGAGAGCGAGCAGGAGGCCGAGGATGAAAAGAGTAGCTCTGGAGCGAGGGCGATCTTCGGATTCTTTTGGAGCCCTTCGGAGACAGCAAAGGGTGCGGGCGCTGCTGAAGAAGCTCCGAGGTGTCTACATGTCCCCTGTGCCACTCCGAATCGGCTGTGTAGGAACCCCAGAGTGGCTGGAGCTCGGAGAAAGGGGAGCCAAGGAGAAGGATCAGGAGGAGGAGGAGGAGGACGAGGAGGAGGAAGAAGGATGAGTGAGAGAAGAGAGCTGAGCAGGGAGAAGAAGCTCGTTGGGCCTTGTTATGGGTAAGAGGCTTTGTTGAGGCACAAGGGCGGGAGGCTCTGGAGACTCTGAGGCATCGGAGCGGTCCTGGGAAGGAGTGGTCCCGGGAAGGCCCTTGGCCCATTGGGGGCTGCGGGGCGGCCAATCGTCTGGCTCATCTTCGGGCCCTGTTGGGAGGCCTCTTGGGGGTCTTTCTGGAGACTCCGGGGGGCGTTTCTGGAGCCATCTTGGAAAGCTCTTGGGCCGTCGTGGGGGCGTGTAGGGACCTCCTGGGGCCAGCTGGGGGAGCTGTCGATGTTGGGAGTCTTGGGACGTCTGGGGGGGCAGTGTTGGATGGTTCGGGCCGTTTGGGAGCCCGCTTTGAGCCCTCTTCGGCAGTTCTTGAGGCCTTCTTGGACCACCTGGGGGATCTCCTCGGCCGCCTCGAGAGCCTCTCGGGCTGTCCTGGGGTGGTGTTGGCGGTCTGGGAGCCCGCTTTGGGACCTGCTACGTAGGCAGCTCCTGGGGCCCTCCTGGGGCTGCTCTTGGGGCCCTCTTGGGGCGCCCCGCGGGGCTGCTCGGGGCTGCTCCCGGGCAGGCCTCGAGAGCCCTCTGAGGCCGCCAATGGGGGGCACCCGGCGAGGCCCTCTTTAAGGGCCGTCCTGGAGGCAATCTTTGGGTCGAGCCTCCTCCTCCTCCTCCTTGTCCTCCTCCTCCTTGTCCTCCTCCTCCTCCTCCTCCTCCTCCTCCTCCTCCTCCTCCTCCTCCTCCTCCTCCTCCTCCTTGTCCTCCTCCTTGTCCTCCTCCTTGTCCTGCTTATCCTCCTCCGGGACCTGTCCCCTCCTGCAGGGGAATTTTGGGCGAGAGATTCAGATTGCTCCAAAAGATACCCCAAAACAATCCACAGATACTTTATAAAGAAGCCGCTCCCAGACGATTTGTTTTACCTTTTGGGGAGCCGCCCTCTCCCGTAGAGGGGCCGGCCCAAACCTGGCAGGCGCAGGCCTGGAAAATGACGGCCACGGCGCCCTCTCGAGGACCGAGAACGGACGATTCACCAATCGACGCGTCGCTGTGGGGGGTTCTGTCCGCCTCCGACTAAGGACCGTCCTGGAGGCAATCTTTGGGTCGAGCCTATCCCCCCTACAGGGGAATTGTGGGCGAAACATGCATTTTCTACACACATATAATAATAATAATAATGATAATAATAATAATGATAATAATAATAAGAAGAAGAAGAATATAAATATTAATATTAATACACCCTACAGGATAATTAAGAAAAAGCAACTTCGGAGCCAGGGTCTGGATTTTCTTAACCCTATTTAAGAAAATCTGAGTTCCAGGGTAGACTATTGAGATTTTCTTAAGTATGTAAGATAGACGCCGAAACAAAACAAGAAGAAGGAGGAGAAGGCGGAGGAGGAGAGCGCGGAGGAGGAGGAGGAGGAGGCGGAGGAGGAGGGGGGCATCTGAGCATTTGAATTGATTGGCATCATGTGCATTTCAATTGATTGACATTGTGCATCGCCGTCGGAACCGGAATGGGGTGCTTTTGGTATGCTTGAATTGACGGTCGTTCCTTCCGTTCCCGTCCCGTTCCGTTCCGTTCCTCCCGTATATATTCATGTTGGTTTATACCGGATATAATACTATAGATCGTTGGTTTTGTAATGATACCGGAGTTATTTTTCGGCGGTAATCGTTGGTTTATCGGCCGCATTTTTATTTATATTTATACCGGAATTGACAGTAATTACCGGGCAGCGGCAGCAGCAGTGGCAGCAGCTTATAAGGAGGAGCAAGGAGGAGGAAGCAGATCTTCTTTTGTCTTTCTCTCTTGCTTGCTTTCTCTACTCTTTCCCTCCTCCCTCCCGGCTTTGCCATAACATGCCCGCTGCCCCCCTTAGCGGCAGCCGCGAGGCGCCGCATGATTCGTTGTTCCCGTGGTCCTGTGGTCCCGTGGCGCGGCAGAGCTGGGTTTCGCGCTGCCTTCCGCCTGAGCGCGGCTGCGCCTCGCTCGAAGCCCGCGGGGTTGTCCGAACGGTTTGGTCTTGCGCGCCAACGGCTCGCGAGGTTGTCCCGACAGCGTGTCGTCTGACTCTGTGGTCCCCTGGCTTGATTATTTGGTGTCTGTTAAAAAACGCAAAAAGACATTAAACGAAAGGTTCGCGATTCAAGAGAAAGATATTAGAGTTTCGTGTCATTGTGGCCTTCTAGCCTTCATATTGGTAGCGTGTCTAAAAAAACGCAAAACACATATTAAACGAGAGTTTCGCAGTCCGAGAGAATCATATCAGAGTTTTAGTTCTCGTGATCTTGTGTTGTCCTGATTCGTTAGTCATGTAGTCACATGGCTCGATTATTCTGTCTCCTTGTGGCCTTGTGGCCTTCATATTGGTAGCGTGTCTAAAAAAAAAAAGCAAACACACATTGAAACAGAGATTCGCGGTCCAGAAGGAAGATATTAGAGTCTCAGTTGTCGTGAACCCCTGTTGTCCTGATTCGCTGGTCGCGGCGTTTTGGTGTTCAAATTTGCTGGTCGCGGCGTCCTCGTGCTCGAATTTGCTGTTTGTAGCATTTCGGTGCTCAAATTCGCTGTTTGCGGCGTTTCGGTGCCAAAATTTATTGCTTGCAGCGTTTCGGTGGTCGGATGCGCCGCCTGCTGCGTTTCGGTTCTGATGCTGTTTCCGCCGCCTCGGTGCTCAAATTTGCTGTTTGCGGCGTTTCGGTGCTGAAAAGTGCTGTTTATGGCGTTTCGGTGCTCAAATTTGCTCTTGCAGCGTTTCAGTGTTCGAATGTGCTGTTTGCGGCATTTCGGTGCTCAAATGTGTTCTTTGTGGCATTTTGGTACTCAAATTCGGAATTTCTAGCGTTTTGAAGCTTAAATTAGCTGTTTGCGGAGTTCGGTTGTCAAATTTGTTATTTGTTGCGTTTCCGTGCTCTAATGTGCTGTTTACTGCATTTCGATGCTGAAATCTGTTGATTGCGACGTTTCGGTGCTGATAGGTCCGTTTGCTGCGTTTCGGTGTGCGAAATTGTTGTTTGCGGCGCTTCGGTGTTCTAATGTGCCGTTTGCGGCGTTTTCGGTGTGCATTTTTTTGTTTTGTTGCGCGCCTCGCTGCTCTCATTTCATTTGCTGCTTGCTGAATTTCGGTTGTCAAATTTGCCGCCATCTGCGGCGTTTCCGTGCTCAAATTTGCCGTTTGCAGCGTTTCGGTGCTCACATTTGCTGTTTGCGGCGTTCCTGATGTCAAATTTGCCGTTTGCTCCGTTTCGGTGTTCATGCTGTTTACAGCGCTTCTGTGCTGAAATATGTTGTTTGCAACGTTTTGGTGTTCAAATTTGTTGTTTGCGGCGTTTTTGTGTTCGAATTGGTTGTATGCGGATTTTCGGTTGTCATATTCGCTGTTTGTGGCGCTTGGGTATTCTAATATATTATTTTTTCAAATGATGTTTTATGCTATCATGTATTGATCTCTATAGCCCGGGGTTTCTGTAGATCCAGACCCAGACCGCGGGTTAAGAAAACGGGGTTTCCAGAGTCTGTTTTCTTAGGTTAAAGTTTTCTTAATTAAAATTCCCGGTGTACTAATATTAATATTAAAAACAATAATAATAATAATAATAATAATGACAATAATAATAATGATACTAATAATTCAAATAAATTTAATACATACATATATATATATATATATAATACAAAGAAGTCGTCCCCAGACGATGATTTGCATCTTTGTTGGGGCAGTCCTCCTGTAGAGGGACAGGCCCGCCTTGGGCGAAAAAATCAAGATGATCACAAAGTACCCCCAAAACCATCAGCAAATACTAAAAAACAAAAAAGTCGTCCCCAGACGATTTGCTGTACTTCTTGGGGGCAGTCCTCCTGTAGAGGGACAGGCCCGCCTTGGCGGCGATCTGGGCAGGGCCCTGGAGCCGTCTGCGGCCGATCTTGCCCCGTCGGGCCGTCGCGGGGCCGTCGCGGGGGCTCCGTTCGGGCTCTCTGGGCCGTCCTCGGGCGCTCCGGGGAGTCTCGCGGGGCTGCCTCGGAGCTGTCTCGGCGGCCGCGCTGGGGCCGCCCAGGGGCTCGCTGGAGCCCCGCCGGGCCGTCGCGGGGCCGTCGCGGGGGCTCCGTTCGGGCTCTCTGGGCCGTCCTCGGGCGCTCCGGGGCCTCGCGGGGCTGCCTCGGAGCTGTCTCGGAGGCCACGCTGGGGCCTCCTGGGGGCCTCACTCTGCAGCCGTCGGGGAGCGCCCCGGGGCGCTTCGGGCGCGCAGGGTCGGCGTCTGCACTGGTCGCCCCCTGCGCACGCACAGGGCCCAGGATGGTGCTACGGGTCAAGCTAGGCTGCAGCTTCGCCTCCCGCAGCTCGCGCAGCAGCGCCAGGGCCCGCTGCCACTGCTCGCCCTTCCCGCACGCGCTGATCCCAGCGTTGAAGCTGACTAGGGCTGGCCCGTGGACTCCGTCCACGACATCTTTCTGGAGTGGCTTTCGGGGGAGAGAGAGCGGAGGTTTTGCCGAAAAACCTATGAGCACGGCGGCGGCCGGGGCGGCTGCAGCGAGACCGCGCCTTCGTGTCCGAGCTCTTGCAGCGCTCCAGCAGCTTGGCCCCGGCGCACGGCTTGTTCGCCCTCCTCCTATTGAGGGCAGTTTTGAAGTCGCTCGGGGATGTGCGTCAAAGTCGAAGCCCATCTGAGGCGTCTCAGGAGCGCCTGGGGATAAGCTCGGGAAGCCCTCGGGGACAGCCACCAGGAGCGCCGGGGAGGCTCGCAAGGATCTCCAAGGAGGGTCCGAAAGAGCTCCGAGAGGGTGTGACATTCAATCAAATCCAACAGAAACCGGTGTTGGGTCGGACGTGCTCCGCTACGTTGGGGACGCCGTTTTGTTGGAGTTCTGTTGAAAGCGAAGCTCTCTCGGGCGTGTCAGGAGCGCCGGGCCCCCTCTTGGAGGCAGTTTTGAAGCCTCTTTGGACCTCTTGGGAGTTGAGGGCCTCTGAAGTCCTCTTGTGGGCCTCTTCGGGACCTCTTGGAACCCTCTTGGGCCGCCTGGGCTCCTCTTGGGCCGTCTTGGAGCCACGTTCACAGCTCCGTACGTCATCTGGACCCTCCTGGAGCTCTCTTCTGGGCCTTCTCGGGCTTCCTCCTCCTCCTCCTCCTCCTCCCCCTCCCCCTCCTCCTCCTCCTCCTCCTCCTCCTCCTCCTCCTCCTCCTCCTCCTCCTCCTCCTGCTCCTGCTCCCCCGCCTCCGCCTCCGCCTCCTCCTCATCATCATCCTCTTTCTCCTCTATCCCTTTTCCTTCTCGACAACTTCGCCCTGTCGCACCCCAAGGCCAGTGTTTAGGGCGGGCCGGGCGTTTCGCCTGAGACTTCCTCACCATGTATGACCCTGAAGCTTAAGAATTGGGCACAGCTTGACAGATGGAGGGCGGGTCGTTTTCAAAATGTGGCTCTCGCCTTGGCGCCGCGCACATTCTTCTTTAAACTTCGCAAGAGCTTCACTGATTGAGGGCGGATCGTTTTCAAAATGTGGTTCTCGGCGCGCCCCCCGGGGCCGTCGCGGTGGTCTCCGGAGCGGCTCGGAGCCGTCTTGTGGTCGAGGGGGCGCCCTCTCTTGAGCAGCTCGGAGCCGTCTGTGTGTACCGTCGGGGTGGCCACTCGGGGCGTCTCGGAGCCGTCTGCGAGGCCGTCGGGGCGCCCTCTGCAGCGGCTCGGAGCCGCCGGAGAGCACTCTGTCCAGAGGCCATTCTCGCGCGCTCTGTGCCCGGCATTGCAGGAGGCACTGAGGCTGACGCGTGGCCTGCCAGCCACGAGGTCTGTCCGAGATAGCACGTGGGGCCAGGGAAGAGATGCTTCCGAGAGGCTCTTGTGATGACGTTGGGCCCGAACTTCTTCTCTGATGTTGTTGCCTGCGGCTGCAGGGTGCTGCTGCCTGCGGCACGTTGCTGTTTCTGCGAATTGTGGCTGTGTGCTGCCACTGCTTGCTGCGAACTGCTGCTGCTCGCCGTTGCTACTTGAGACTGCAGAGTGCTGTTCCTTGGAACCCTTGCCGGCTGACGCAACCTGGGGTTTGTGAGTGGACCGAGGAGCGAGGAGCGAGGAGTCAGGGTCGAGGGAGGGGGAGGAAACGAGGAGCGATCAGCGAGGAGCGAGGAGCGAGGAGGGAAGCAGCGGTCGAAAAGAGACGAGGGAGGAAGAGAGAGAGAGAGAGAGAGTGAGAGAGAGAGGGGCGAGGCGGGGTGAGGGGGCCGAGGGAGGGGGAAGGCAGACGCCAGTAGCCAAGAGGGAGAAGGGAGGGGCCAGAGGAGAGGTGGGAGGAGCGGAGGCGCAAGGAGAGAGGAGCCAGGAGCGGGAAGGAGGAGGCGAGGAGCGGAGAGAGAGAGAGAGAGCGGCGAGGGAGCGAGGGAGCGAGGGAGCGAGGAGCGGGGAGCGAGGGCGAAGGCGGGCACGAGCAGGGGCCGGCACACAGAGGTCCGAGTGGCCTCGGCGCGCGTGGCCGAGCAGATGATCTCCTCTTGGGTCGCCGACGGGGGGGCCCTCTTTTGGGTGGCCCAGCGCGGTCCCAGGGGATCTTCCCTCGGAAGCCTCTGCGAGGCGACTTGTGTGGCGTCTTGGGCCACCTCGGGACCCACTTGGGCCTGGTCGGCCCTCGTGCGGGCCTCCCGGAGCTTCTGAGGGATCTATTGGGGGTCTGCTGGCGGTCTCGAGGCAATCCTGGGGCGGAGCGCTGGTTCCGGTTCCCCCCCATTGGGGCCCTCTTGGGTTCCTATCCGGGCCGTCGTGGGCCGTCTTGGGTTCCGCCTGGGCCACCTTGAAGCCCTCTCGGGCTGCCTCGGGGCCCCCTTGGGGGCCTGTTGGGCCGCCGGGGGGCGATATTTGGGGCCTCTTGAGCCGTCACGTAGCATCAGAAGCCCGAAACGGCGAGAACGTCGAAGTCCTTCAAATCCACAAGGAAATCAAAGATTCTGGCTTCCCTGGGCCCTCTTGGGGGCCCTCTTGGGGGGCCTCATTGGGACTTCCTTGGGCCGTCTGGGGGGCCCCCTGGGCCGCAGGGGGGCCGTCTGGGAGGGCGGTCCTCGGCCTCCCGGAGACCTTCCGTGGGGGGGGGAAAAAAACATTGGCGCACAGTACCCCCTATACCCCTGATAATAAACACCTGGGATTAAGAAAATTCGGGGTCTGGGGGAGGATAATAAGCGTTTTTCCCGGCGGAGGATGATGGTGGTGAAGATGGTGATGATGATAACCACTCAAGGGCGATGGCGTCTGACCCAGGGATAATAACGACTCAGGGGTCAAGGACGGGGGATACTCTTCATTATCCAGGGAACGGGGTTACCTTCCTTCTCGCACGCAGAGGTTCCTGCATTGTAGAGTAGAGGAGAGAAAAACGGCATAAACATAGACTGCTGGCGCTCCGCGCGGACTTTTTGGATCTGCGCTGGACCCCCTTCCCGTGCGCGCTCCGCGCTAGGGGACCCAGACGCCGATCCAAGAAATCCGCGCGGAGCGCCGAAAGTTTATGTTTGTGGCGTTTTTCCCTTCTTCGATAGAGGAGATGACGCTGGGCTCCAGTTGCACCTCCCGCATCTCGCTCAGCAGCGCCAAAGCCCGCTGCCACTGCTCGCCCTTCTCGCACGCGCTGATCCCAGCGTTGCAGCTGACAGCGTCGGGCTCCACCTTCGCCTCCCGCATCTCGCTCAGCAGGGTCAAAGCCCGCTGCCACTGCTCGCCCTTCTCGCACGCGCTGATCCCAGCGTTGCAGCTGATGACGTCGGGTTCCACCTTCGCCTCCCGCATCTCGCTCAGCAGCGCCAAAGCCCGCCGCCACTGCTCGCCCTTCTCGCACGCGCTGATCCCAGCGTTGTAGGAGAGACGAGCGTGCACCCTGGGAGAGCGGCACCAGAAAGAGAGAGTGTGCTGGCTCCCAGAGGCAGAGAAGAAGAAAGAGAAGCGATAACTGTCGAACAACAAACACAAACCACAAACCAAAAACATATGCGCTAATTCCGCAAGGGAGAAAAGCTTTCTGGGGCCTCGCTTGGGCTCTGGGGCTCTCTTTGGGGCGACCATCGTGCGAGTCTCCCCCGTCACCCCAGTCGCCCGCAGGGGGGGTGGGGCTTCTGAGAGGAAGGGTGGGGTTCACTTCGCTCGGGGGCTCTCGAACGAAGTGAACCCCACCCTCCCCCTCAGAAATCGTGGGAGGTCGAGGTAGGGCTCGCACGTGGCCCCCGATGGGGTGGGGGGGGGGGGCGCGAGGCCTGCGGATGTGTGTGCAGGAACGAAAGGAGGAGAGGGCGAGGGGGAAGTAAGGCGAGCAGAAGGAGGACAGCGGCACCAGAGAGAGGGGCGCGAAGGGACCGAGGAGCGAAAAGAAGAGAAGCGAAGCGAAGCGAAGCGACGAGACGAGACGAGAGACGAGACGAGTCGAGACGAGACGCGAGACGAGACGACGACGAGACGAGACGAGACGAGACGAGACGAGACGAGA